AAAAAACTAGCCGGGCGAGGTGGCGGGCGCCTGTAGTCCCAGCTACTCCGGAGGCTGAGGCAGGAGAATGGCGTAAACCCGGGAGGCGGAGCTTGCAGTGAGCTGAGATCCGGCCACTGCACTCCAGCCTGGGCGACAGAGCCAGACTCCATCTCAAAAAAAAAAAAAAAAAAAAAAAAAAACACTCCCTCTCCTGAAATCCATAAGGAAATGTGATAATAAGAAAGTGATAATAGTGTCATATTTTAAAAGTAGAATCCACTGTTAATCACCAAGATTACTTTTTCTTCCCCCGTGGCACAGTTTATTTAAATGAAGTATTAGCAATAATCATGTCACTATTTTGTCCTGAATAATTAAGCGTTTGCTTTTTTCCCATGTCTTTGCAATAGGATAATATAAGCAATAGTATTAAAAGTCAGAGGCTTTACTAATCTAGCTATATGTATTCCATGACTAACAAACCCTGGCCCCTTCACCTATGAGTGCTAGAGGTTCACCTGGCTGCCTCTGGCTTACAGAAGGCTGCCCCAGTCACAGAGCCTGGGTAAGGTGGAACAGGAGGCGGCCTCACTTGGCTTTTCTGATTGCACCCCACCTGTTTCTGAGTGTTGGTTTGGTTTAATTCTTCTCAAGGGTTGGAGTTGGAAAGTGAAAACCATAGACATTCGCTGTGGAATGTTTGCCTGGTTGTTTTGGTGTGTCCCTCTTCTTCACTGGCATGTCGCTTTCAGGTGTATCAAAGGACATTTTGTTCTGTTGAAAGCCCCAGGACCAAAAGGAAAGTATTGCAACTATTTGCAAACATACTTCCCTACCTATACAAGCAGCCGTATACTAAAAAGCACTAAACAAGCACGAACAAACACTAAATAGCCTTATACCAGAAAGCATTCTTGTAACTGTCAGGGCCTGGTATGAATTCCTTCCTCTTTAAGCAGCAACTTACTACAGGCTTGTTGGCTTTAAGTGATATAGAATTACGCAAATGGTCAGTTATTTTTTAATGTTGAAAACTTGAAAGTGTGAGTAATATGGACATAGTTTACTACCTTTTGCTTTTAATATACTTGGTTATGTATTTCCGTTTGAAATAAAATGAAAGACCTCAAACTAATGCTGCGAAGTAGACAAAATCAGCGCTCAGATTTAAATCCGCCCAATTTAAATAGTTTTTTTTTTCCCTTCCCTTTTTTTTTTTTTTTTAAGAGACAGGGTCTTGCTCTGTTGCCCAGGCTAGAGTGCAGCAGTGACATGATCATAGCTCACTGCAGCCTGGAACTCCTGGGCTCAGGATCCTCCTGCTTTGGCCTCCTGAGTAGCTAAGACCACAGGTGTGTGCCACCACACCTGGCTAATTTCTTAAAATTTTTTTGTAGAGATGGGGTCTTGCTTTGTTGCCCAGACTAGTCTCGAACTCCTGGCCTCAAGCCACCGGCCTCGCAAAGTGCTGGGATTACAAACATGAGCCATACCTGGCCTGTTATTCCTTATTTATCTAATGTGTGCTAAGCTCATGAAAAATATATGTTGGGGTAAATAGGGCAAAACGTTAGTTGAGAAATTATGCTAATTAATGGGAAAAATAGACACATTCCTCTCTGAACATTTAGAAGGACTCTGCCCTACAGCTATCTTCTGTTTTTAGAATTTGTAGTCACTGTTCTTAGTGCCACTGGAAATATATTCATTCTTTGAGCATGTGCAGGATGGGCTGCCTGTTGTATTTATTACACTTTTCAAAGTGCTAGCAAGTTTTTGTTTGTATAGAGTTGGAATGTATTGTTCATGCATGCCTGTGATATTCATCATCAAAATATACCTGTAAAAAATAAACCATCGCTTCCTCTCCACACCTTAGGCCTCTCCCTCTTACTAAAAACCATAGTAGTTTCTGTAGAAGTTTTGGTGAGAAATTATGGTTATATAAATAACAGATACGGCAGAACAAGTTTGTTGTAGTATTTTTTTCCCTAGCAGTTCTTAATAATAGCTCAGTTTTCAAAGGAGGGGAACAATACCCCATGTGAGTTCAAATTAATTTTCTCTACTTTGAGGTATACCTTCCTAATTATACTTTACATAGGCTAATTTTTTTAAGTTTAAATTCTTGCTGTTAAGTTGCATTGAGAAACAATTAGAAATGTTGTAATTATCATCTCTTTACATGTGGATTATGAACAAATGAAAGTTTGCTGTGTGATTGCAGTTTCAAATTATAACATTTCATAAATATGTCAGTTTTAGAAACTCAGACTCTTTCCCATCTTTTGTATGGATAAAGTTTATGGTTTCATTTCTGAGAATAGAGTTGGTCTGCTGTGCTAACTTCATGTTTCTCATTCCAAAGGCTTGATTATATTTTTTCCTCCGGTGATTAAAAATGCAGCGAAAATCCAATTTACAAGTTCATATATTGATATTTCTAGACGTAGTCTAGTTCTAAAAGAATGTACTTGGTGTGCATTTTTAAGTGTTTCATGTAGACAGATTAATATATTTTTGTACAACATTGTATTTCTACATGTATTTCAAGACTACTTTTCGGTGACTTTTTCAAGTGCATGTGTTAACAGAAGGTTGGAATGAGAGTGCAGTGGCTTTACTAGTCAGGAGAAGTGTAATACAAGTGATCGTAGAAGGTGAGAATGTGTTTATACTGTACATTGGAAACAATGCCTCTTTTCTAACGCTTTGTACATTTTTTTCGTGAAATAGATTAAATATTTTCTCTCTAAAACCGTGTTTCTGTTTTAATGTGCTTTCTAAGTATATCATGAGGTAGCTCTACTACTTAGAAACCTGTAAGCCATGATTTACTTGAGCTTTTGGGGAAATGGAAAGCAGAATACTTAGTTTAAAAAAAAATTTGTTTAACTGCAAGCAGATACCTCAAGATCAAATCATACAATCATAATTACTATAGATATTTTTAATATGTATATTGGGAAAGGGTAATTTTTTTATTCAATAAATGATACTGGGAACATTTGAAAAGAACAACAACAGAAATTAGATCTGTACCTAGCACTGCACACTGAATTTAAAAGGAATGAATGACATGACATAAAAAATAAAATTACAGAAACACCAGAAGATAAAGGAGATGAACTATAATGTTGAGGGTGAGGATGGTATTCCTGAGACTGACCTAAAGCCCAAAAGCATGACTGGAAAAGTTGACACGTGTGACTCCCTAAAAATTTTAACCATCTACATAACGAAAGAGAACAGAAATGAAAAAAGGAAATGCAAACTGTGAAAACATTTTCAAGACACAAAATGGACATAGGATTACTATGTGTAGTATCTGAAGAGCTCTTATAAACTAATCAGAGGAAGACG